AACGGAAGAAGTCATAGTAGAAATCCACATGATTATAGAGGAATATCCAAGTCTCTAAGAGATATCAAATGTTTCCACTATAACAGGTCAGGTCACATGAAGAAAGAATGTAGGTTTTGGAAGTGAGAACAGAATGAAAGAAAGAAAAATGAGAAAGAGACCAATACAGTTGTTGTTGAAGGTGATATCATTATTGTTTGTGATGATGGTTGTGTCAGTCTTGCAGCTCAGGATAATAACTGGGTAATTGGCTCTGGTACTTCATTTCATGTTACTTCTCATGGTGATTTCTTTAGATCTTACACTGCTGGTGATTTTAGTAATGTTAGAATGGGAAACAGTGGTACATCGAAGATTGTGGGTATTGGAGATATTTGCTTGGAGACCAGTATTGAGAGCAAATTGATACTCAAAGATATCAGACATGTTCTAGATATTCATCTTAAACTTGATACCTACAAGCAGACTTGATGATGAGGGATTTACACATTATTTTGGTGAAAGCAAATGGAAACTCACTAAAGATTCTCTAATTGTGGCAAGAGGAAAGAAGCTTAACTTTTTTTAATGTCATGGAAGCTAAGCTACATAAAGGAGAGATTAATGTAATTCAGAAAGGTGAAAAGTATAGATCTTTGACACAAGAGGCTTGGTCATATCAACAAGAAGAGACTTCAAACTCTTGTTAGAAAGCAGTTCTTATTAGAGTTGTAAGGTACATTTCTTAAATCTTGTGATCATTGCTTAGTTGGAAAAACACATAGAGTTACATTTCATACATATCCATCATCGAAAAGATCAGATGTTATTGATTTAGTTCATACTGATGTCTGTACTATACAAACTAGAACTCTTGGAGGTGCTCTTTATTTTGTTACTTTTATTGATAACCATTCTAGAAAAGTTTGGGTTTTTGCTTTGAAATCTAAAGACCAGGTACTCGATATTTTTAAAAAGTTTTATGTTAGTGTTGAAAGAGATACCAGCAAAAAGCTAAAGTGTATTCGAGCAGATAATGGTGACGAGTACAGGGGTCCTTTTGAGAATTATTACAAGTTTCATGGTATCAGGCTTAAGAAAATAATTCCTAAAACTCCTTAACAGAACGATATGACAGAAAGGATGATTAGAACCATTGAAGAAAGGATTAGGTGTATGCTTTCCTACGTCAAGTTACCGAAGTCATTTTAGGGGGAGGCTTTAAGAACTACAGTTGACCTTATAAATCTTTCTCCATCAGTTCCTTTGAAAGGTGATATTCCAGAGAGAGTATAGAAAGGAAAGATATATCTTATAATCACTTGAGAGTCTTTGGGTGTAAAACATTTATTCATGTTCCCAAAGATGAGAGGTCCAAGCTTAATAATAAGGCAAAAACATGTATCTTCTTGGGATATGGTCATGAAGAGTTTGAGTATAGATTATAGGATGAAGTGAATAAGAAGATTATTAGAAGCAAAGATGTTGTATTTCTTAAAGACCAATTGTTTGATGATGGTGATAATGTTGAGAAGCCAAAAACCTCTATTTATATTCCTTGTAGTTTGGGTCTAGTTCCTTCACCTATAGTTCATGGTGATCATGGGGGAGATGAACAAGAAGATTGTGGTGAGAATACAAGTGATGATACTCCTACAGTTGATGATGTTGAACCAACTGAACAAGCACCTCCACCACTAGTTGAGATTCTATTGAGAAGATCCAATAGAGAGCGACAACCATCTACCAGATATCCTCCACATGAGTATGTTATGCTTACTGATGAGGGAGAGCCAGCAACTTACTAAGAAATTATTCTACATGAGTATAAGAATGAGTTTGTTAAAATCATACAAGAAGAGATGAGATCCTTGCTTGAGAATCACACCTATGACTTAGTAAAGTTGCCTAAAGAGAAGAAAGCTCTAAAAAATAAATGGGTTTACAAATTAAAGTCTGAAAATAATAGCTCACAAAAAAGATGCAAGACACAATTAGTTATGAAAGGATTCAGTCAGAAGAAAAGTATTGACTTTGAAGAAATATTTTCTTCAATTGTAAAAATATCCTCTATCCGAGTTGTTCTTAGTGTGGCTGCCCGCTTGAACTTATAAGTCGAGCAACTTGATGTGAAAATATCATTTCTTCATGGTGACTTAGAAGAAGAAATTTATATGGAGCAGCCAGAAGGTTTCAAAGTCAAGGGAAAAGAAAATCTAGTGTGTAAGCTTAGGAAAAGCATAATGGTCTCAAACAGGCACCTAGATAGTGGTACAAGAAGTTTGATTCCTTTATGATGAGCCAAGGGTATAATAGAACCACATATGATCATTGTGTGTTTATGAAGAAATTTTTAGATGATGATTTTATTATTCTCCTACTATATGTTGATGATATACTGATTGTTGACCATGATGTTGGTAAAATTGAAAAGCTTAAAAAAGAACTAAGTAAGTCTTTTGCCATGAAAGACTTAGGACTAGTGAAACAAATACTTGACATGAAGATTCTTTGTAATAGGAAGAAAAGGAAGATTTGGCTATCTCAAAAGATTTATATTGAAAAGGTTCTTGAAAGATTCAACATGAGTAAAGCTAAAGCATTTTGTTCTCCACTTGTAAGTTATTTCAAGCTTAGTTCGAAACAATGTCCTACAAGTAAGAAAGAAAAAGAAGAAATATCCAGAGAGCATTACTCATCTACAGTAGGCAGTTTGATATATGCTATGGTTTGTACTAGGCCAGATATAGCTCAAGCATTTGAAGTTGTTAGCCGATTTCTCTCTAATCCTGGAAAGAAACATTAGGCAGCAATGAAATGGATATTAAGATATCTAAGAGGTACTTCCAAGTTTATTTATGTTTTGGCAGTGATGAACCTGTGTTAGAAGGGTACACAGATATAGACATAGTAGGTGATACTGATTCCAAGAAGTCCAATTCGGGGTTCTTGATGACATTTGCAGGGGGAGTAGTCTCTTGACAATCTAAGTTACAGAATTATGTTGCTCTATCAACCACAGAAGCAGAATATATAGTAATTATTGAAGCTTGCAAGGAAACTTTATGAATCAAAAAGTTTCTACAGGAATTAGCCTTGAAACAGGAAGGATATATTGTTTAATAGTCAGAGTGTCATTCACCTCTCCAAGAATTCAACATACCATTCTAAATCCAAGCATATTGATGTGAGATATCACTGGATTCGTGATATGCTTGAGATGAAAGAATTGCACTTGGAAAAGGTGCATACCAATGAGAATGGATCAGATATGTTGACAAAATCTTTGCTTAAGGAAAAACTTGAAGCATGTAGGCAAAGAGTGGGCTTGGTACAACCCATCATATGAGCTGGAGGGAGAGAATCGTTGGGTTCAACCCATATGTGGGCTTGGATCGGACAATTAGGCTTTTTGAGCCCAAATCAACAATGAAAAGAAAAAGGGGAAGAGACGTGCATGGTGCATGCAGTGAGCGAACAACGAACGAGCGGAGGTGCGTGCAGCGAACTGTGGTGGCACACAATGAGAGGAAAGAACAGAGAGAGAAAAAGAAGAGAGAAAAATAAGTTTTTTTGCTTGACGATCAGTGGCCAAACGTTGTTAGTTTTGACCCAAATTTTATGTGAAGAATCCTTGCAGCAAGCTCTAGAATCCTAATGATGTTGATCTGTAGTTTACCCTATCTGAGATACTTCTTGCTATAACCATTATGTGAGACCTAAAATTCTCTTTTTATGAAATCTATTTTTGGTAGTGATGATACGTTAATGTTCAGCTAAGATTTATGTTCTTGATGTTATTGTGATCCTCTAGTTATTCTAGAGAAGATTTACTGGAAACCTGTTATCATTACTATTGATAGTAGAAGTTTAAGGTGAGCTACGGTCCCGTAATTTTTTCCGCATTAGGTTTTCCATGTTAAAAATTTAGTATCACTATGTGATTGATTTATTGCTCTATTATTTATACTATTCTGATTAATATGTGCTTTTGATAATAAATTAATATACATTGAGGGAAAGAGTTATTCCGCTTTAATATGTTTTTCCCAACACTTATCTCTTTAGAAAGAAAGGATCAAGACATTTTCACTCTAAATAAATGTTACATGATGATGAGTATTAATTTTTCTTATTATACAATCTTATCTTAGTTTTTAAAGATTGCTAACTAGTTTAGTTAATAAAAAGAATATGACTATTTTATAAAATATAATGAATTTAATTATGATTTTATAAAAAAACTTGTTGATTGTCATTGTCACAATCTAAAAGCATATGCAAATAACGTAAATCACTTAACCGGTCTCTATTATAGAAAATAATTTATTGAGTTGGGTAATCTTTTTTTACCAAGAGAGTAAATAGTGAAGATAATATTTGATCAAAAAAATTTCTTATCAATAATTAACGTATTCACTAACTAAGTTAGCTAATATTTTTATTTAATATTTAATTAATCTTAATAAAATTAACTTGATGCATGATAGAACATGTCATACTCTCACCATCTTGCTTTTATGGAAAGCTTATCAAGTGGCTTAGTAAAATCTTGAATTAAATTTCACTTGTATTATTTTTATATTTTATAATAAAATATTTTTTATTATCATGTCATATTACTGCATATATGCAAATAACATAAACTAACCTAATGACTCTCCAATATAGAAAAGTTTCATGCATATTTGGAGAATTCGGTTATCACAAATTTAAGAGGGGTATATTCGTCAATACGTAGCAGTGGTCGCAGTGGCCTGCGTCGCGAAGGCAATGATTGGATTGAGAGAAGTGACAAATATCCGCACCACCTAGCCTGAACTATACCCACCTATAAGGGGACCACCTGCTGCTCCCTGCTCACGTTATCCTTTTCGGGCCCCACCGCCACTTGTGACACCACGCGTGTATTCTGTGTGCGTCACCTTCGCTAGCTTTAGACCCAGAGGATCGAACGGATAAGATTCAATGGAGATCAGAGATCAGCGAATCGAGGCCGTAAACTGTGTCATCGAGGAATCCTGGGCACGGGTTCGGGTGTGCAGACGGCGGGAGATGTTGGAAGGGTACGCGATTCGGTAAAAGGACCGACGGAGAGGGCGTTGATGTCCGTGTGCAATTGGCGTTTGGAAAGCGCCAGGTGAGAGAGATCAGATCGTTCGATATGGTTATCCGTGGGCATTGAATTCTTGTTCTGCTTGTGTTCGTCCGATTTGATGTTCTCAAAGGTGGCCAAGGATTTTTAGCTCTGAAAAGAGGTAGATTATAGGAGGCGGTCATCTGTGGGAAGATTTTTGTTTCTTTCATTGATTCCGATGGGAAAGACGAGATCTTGCTGATCGTTAGTGGAATATTGGCAAAAGAGATTCCATTTTTGTGTGTTTTGGTTCAGAAGATTGATTCTGAGAGCGGTATCCGGTTTCGCAGATATGGCTATGCTTTTTAATCTTCTCTCTTATTGGCTTTGGGGAAGAAAAGGTCGTCAATCTCCCGAGCAATCACTGAGTTCTTCGTCTGATTACCTCACGGGGTACAGGGATCCGGATTCTTTGAAGATTGCAGCAGGTAACGTGCCTCAGATCCGATCGAAATGCATGGGTGATTTTGATGATCCGGATTGGGCGATTGGGTGGTTGGAACCGCATGCATCCGAGTTCCTGTCTGAGAGCGAGACGGAGAACGGCTTTGCCGTCTTGGTCCCATGCTATACGCGAGGTTGCTACGCGCAGGTTGATTTCTCCAAAGAAGCATGTTTTGGGTACTATTGGTCTCAACAACGATGATCATTCTGGTAAGAGGGGAATATATTTTATCTTTATTTTACTGCATTTGCTCTCTTCTTCAACTTGTCCGAGAGGCTTGCATCTTGCACATGTTGATACAGCAGTTCAAGAAGATTCATCATATCATTATGGATCATATGCTATGTTTATGTTATTATAATTAGTAATCTCATAATAATTTGATCCTCATTCCAAATATTTATTTGGAGTACCTTCGTTTCACATCAGGAAATTAAAAAGTCTATATCTATGCCTTTAAGGCTTTCTGGATTAATGAAGGGAGAAGATTTCAATAGAAAATTTATCGTAATTTCTCCAACGAAACTGTGGTAGTGCTGTTGGTATGCTACTTTTGACAAACCTTGATTGATACTACACAGCAAAACGTCTAAAGCTTGCTTCAAAGACCGCTAGTTTCTAAGTATTGATTTTGGTTAATGTCTTCCTGCTTGACTGATCACTTTTGTAAGTTTTAAGTTTGAAGGCCTTGATAAGGGGGATTTTGTGTCTGTATGTCTGCGTGCTCATGCAGACAAATGCTGTTTTCAGAAATCCTTCATTATATTATGTTCTTTATATTTGCATTTTGTTTTTTCTTTGAGAAGAACCTAATAATACCAATTGCACTAGTCATGATTAAGCTATTCAGAATTTGGAACAATCTTGGGCAATGGAAACGATTCATTCATGTTTTGCCTTGCTCATAATGATACAGATGACCACGAAGCTGGCCATGCTTTACAGTATTAACGAATACTGATTTGTAAGGCGAACGTTCTAGGAGTTGAGTTGTTTTCACTAATTCTTTAATGTTGAGGTGTTCGTAAAATAGGCTATCTCCAGCCCATCAATAGCCAAACGTTTTCTTGCTCAGGTTAGACGATTCGTTATGGGCTTCTTTAATCTGCCTAATTATTATTTCTCTATAAAAATATTGTAGTTCTTTGACTAATTTTAACTTTTCTAATTCTAGAACCGGAGTACTCCATGATGGGGATATAAATAGGAATAACCTTTGTATATGAACAAATACTAGAAGACCATAATATGCAACGGAATTAAATAGAAACACAATCAAACAGAACACCAAGATATACGTGGAAAACCCCTTCAATGTGAAGGGTAAAAACCACGGGGCAAACTAGAGATAATCCACTATGAGAATAATGAATATACAAATCTCAATCTCTTGCCCTAAACCCTAGCAACAACCACAAGAGAATAACTGGGATACAAGGATCACGTCACTGTCCACACTATCTAAAACCTCCCAAAGTAATCACAGCAAGAGTTTACTGTAGATTTGATCTAACCTGAGATGAGAACACTGCTAGATGATTGAGAACAGTCTCTCTGCATTGTCCTTGTCTTCTTCCCTTTCTTTCTCTTCCTTTTCTGCCTTGTTCTCCTTCTTCTCTTTGGAATCCCGTCGCCCTAAAGATCTGCCTCGTTGCTGCCTTTTTATAGCCTGTTTCTGCATCTAAAACGCAGCCACCACACCCCCTAATCTTAATTAGGGTTAGGTTAAGAGGGGGTGTGGGCTGTGGGCTGCCCTAGCCCACATGGGCTATCAGCCCAACAACCTCCCCCTTCAGCCCATAAAGGAGGCTGTCCCATGACTCCTCAATGTGAAGCCATGCCGACCAGCTGTCGGCATATCTCCTGTCTTTCTTTTGGTAAGGTCTTCGTCAATATGTCTGCTCCGTTGTCATCTGTATGAATTTTCTGAAGCTGCAACTGCTTCTCTTCAAATACATTTCGAATCTAGTGGTCTCTGACATCTATATGCTTTGATTTGGAATGAAACATTGGGTTCTTACACAAATGGATGACACTTTGGCTGTCACAATGCACCACATAATTTTCCTGTTTCAGCCTCAATTCTTATAAGAATTCTTTCATCCATAACATTTCTTTGCATACCTCTATAGCAGCAATATATTCTGCTTCTGTGGTAGAGAGAGCAATACACCTTTGCAACCTGGATTGCCATGACACAGCTCCCCTTGCAAAAGTAAGTACATAACCTAAAGTAGACTTTCTCGTATCTATATCTCTTGCCATATCTGCATCTGTGTAACCTGTCAACACATGTGGTCCACCTCCAAAGTTTAAACAAACCTTAGAGCTCCTCTGAGATATCTAAAGATCTACTTCACTGCTGCCTAGTGCTCTTTGCCAAGACTTGCAAGAAATCTGCTACTAACACCCACTGCATATGCGATGTCCGGCCTCGTACATACCATTGCATACATTAAACTTCCAACTGCTGAAGCATAAGGAA